TGGGTGCAGTCGGTGTGGCTAAATTTTGTGTGGTCCGGTGTGTGGCAGTGAACCGAGGCGGTTGACTTATTAACCGAGGCGGTTCCCTTACATTGCCTGCCTCGGTTAAACATTAACCGATGCGGGTAGGCGGCCCGCCCGCCTCCGAGGCCAATTTGAAAATGGCTCGCAAAAGATTTTGTGTAGTAGTGAATGTGTCAAATTTTAGATTTTTTGAACAACCAAAATAAATTTTATGAATTTGTTTCTATGTTTTCAGTTGGTAGGTGGTTTGCATTATATATTGCCGGAATATTATGACAAGAGCGTTGCATGTTGATTGTGCTTGAATGGCCATATATCCCCGAAAAATATTGGATCCTGCCCTGCAACCAAAAGAATCAGGCAACATTGTAAAAAAGGACACGGAGATGGAGTTTGATATGTGCTTATATGTATTAATTATCATTCAAAAAGCAAATTGAGTCTAGCTCAATCATTGAAAAAGCGAATTGAGTCTAGCTCAAATGGTTAGGTTTTTTATGGTAGAACTTGCTCACCGGATTCAAGGTCTCGACGTGACATGGGATTAACGGCGTTATACTATGCGATGTTCCGGCATGTGTATCATTCTATAAAATTGGTATACCGAGACAAAACATTTTTTCCGTGCACTTGTAAAATGAAAAACTATGGTAGCTCGTGCGTAGTTTAAGAATGGGCCAAATTGAATTCTATAGGTTTATTCTGATCTAGTTTTTTCCTAATCTACAGAGATAATAAATCTTTTATGTAGATTTGGGTCAGTTTTTAGTAGATTTTTCATTTGAGTTGCATGTGTATTTGTTCGGTTGCCACCTAAATATAGAGAAACGAACCTAGTTTTATACAAATGAAACTCTAGATTTCCAACTCTAAATGAGCCATTAAATTAAATATGTTAAATTATAGAATAAAACCATACATTGAGACTAGTAATTTCATCTATTTTTATTGCAATCTATCTTGACACTATCTTCGCCCAGATCGAGCTTACTTTAACATTTGATCACTAGTCCATTACCAAATGCGGCTAAATGTCTCCTTACTTTAGCAACAAGGCTAAATAGTCTTTTAGTACCCTTCAAATTTTATGAAAGAAATGCCCTTCAAAATTTTCAAATAAAAGATTAAAACAATATTTCATCACTATAAATAATAAATAAATAAAAGAGAAAGGGGCGTTTTTTTTTTTGAGCATCAAAGAGAAGGGGGCGTTTAGCGTGATGATTCCCCCGTCCTATTCTATCCTATCCAACGGTTGTGATCTTCCACCCACCATTGTAGCGCAGATCTCCAGCCCCGCAAAACCCTAGCCCCAACTTCTCCCGACTATAAATGCCTCCACCTCCCGCTTCCGGCCCTTTCCCTCACCATCCTTCCCCTCGCGCCGCCGCCACCGCAACCCTTGCAGCCCCAATCCCCCACGGCGACCATGGCCGGCGCGCAGGAGTCCCTCTCCCTGGTGGGCACGATGCGCGGCCACAACGGCGAGGTGACGGCGATCGCCACCCCGATCGACAACTCGCCGTTCATCGTCTCCTCCTCCCGCGACAAGTCCTTGCTGGTGTGGGACCTGCAAAACCCGGTCCACTCCACCCCGGAATCCGGCGCCACCGCCGACTACGGCGTCCCCTTCCGCCGCCTCACCGGCCACTCCCACTTCGTCCAGGACGTCGTCCTCAGCTCCGACGGCCAGTTCGCCCTCTCCGGCTCCTGGGACGGCGAGCTTCGCCTCTGGGACCTCTCCACCGGCGTCACCACCCGCCGCTTCGTCGGCCACGAGAAGGACGTCATCTCCGTCGCCTTCTCCGTCGACAACCGCCAGATCGTCTCCGCGTCCCGCGACAAGACCATCAAGCTCTGGAACACCCTCGGTGAGTGCAAGTACACCATCGGCGGCGACCTTGGCGGCGGCGAGGGCCACAACGGGTGGGTCTCCTGCGTCAGGTTCTCCCCCAACACCTTCCAGCCCACCATTGTCTCCGGATCCTGGGACCGCACCGTCAAGGTCTGGAACCTTACCAACTGCAAGCTGCGCTGCACTCTCGATGGCCACGGCGGCTATGTTAACGCCGTCGCCGTGAGCCCCGACGGGTCGCTGTGCGCCTCTGGCGGGAAGGACGGTGTTACTCTGCTGTGGGATTTGGCTGAGGGGAAGAGGCTGTACTCGCTGGACGCGGGCTCCATCATCCACTCCCTCTGCTTCTCGCCCAACCGCTACTGGCTCTGCGCTGCGACGCAGGACTCTGTCAAGATCTGGGACCTTGAGTCGAAGCACGTTGTGCAGGACCTCAAGCCCGACATCCAGATCTCCAAGAACCAGGTTTGTCTCTACCCTTACCTGCGCTTAGCATACTTATCTTTGATGAGAGAAATCGTGTAGGTTAGGATCTGTAGTTACTTGTACATGAGTTACATTCTGCCTTCTTGATGAGTTAGTCCGTTAATACCACTTGTATATGTTATATCCAACAAATGTCCAGTGCTCTGCAGAATTGTTGGTGCGCTGAATCTTTAGTGCTAATGCATATAGAAATATATTTTGGGTAAGATGATGTGTGTGCTGTGGCATAATTTTGTATCACTTCAATTCTGTTCTATCAATTTTCCATTTGTTTTGCATGTGCTCTTGTTTTACAATCTGTCTCATGAGCTATAGGCCTATAGACTGTAGTCTATTATTTCTACTCAGCATTACACCATGATATTAAAGCATATCCACTATTACCGAATTTTATATGTCGTCTTCATCCACTCTAATTGTTTGTTATCAGCATTGTACCTCACCTAGTATGTCGTTGCTCTAGATATGCTCGTGCTATATAATGTTGAACTCTGTTAATGTCATTTTGTTCTATGTAAGACTCTGTGCCAACAGTGCACTAGTGTTGACTAATTTTAAGAGTAGTGTTTATTTTCAGTTGTGCATATTTCTGCTATAATGTGTATCATGACCTACTATCATTTATACATGTACAATCGTTTTATATGCTCATGAATCCAGATACCAGCAGTTAGGTGTTTACTTTGGTGTAAATTGTCTTTCGATGTTGGACTATGAAATTGGTAGAAACTCCTGTTACAGGATGTCTTATAGTTCAGTGTAATTATTTTTTTTGGATGGATGATTATCTACTATTTCTCTGATTGATATTCAACTGTTTCTGGTGTATAGATCCTGTACTGCACAAGCTTGAGCTGGAGCGCAGATGGAAGCACCCTCTACACTGGCTACACCGATGGGTCTATCAGGGTTTGGAAGATCTCTGGGTATGGTTACGCCGGCTAGATGTTGAAAAGCCACTTGAAGGTCTAGGCAGTCTTATTTGGCAAAACATTGTAATGTTGTCAAGTTTTTGAAGTCGTGAGCTATATCGTCTGTTTGGTACTTTCCGGTCGCCCAACTATTTAAGCTTAGCTTTGTTAATGAGCTAATCAGTACTATGAAGAATCTATTTTGCACCATGGTTCTGTTTTGCTTCTGCTTTATATTATATTATATATGCTTCAGTCATGCAACCAACTGATGCCTGTTACTGGGTTGATGTGCTGTGCTTTTGCGTTGCTATGTCTCCAGTAATGCGACTGTTGGTAAGAAAATAAGCATGCATGCCTCGGTTCAGCATGGATGACCTTGCCCTCCTTAGTTCATCAGGCAGGCTAATCTCTGCCCTAAGTCAGGATGGATGACCTTGCCCACCTCAGTTTTTCAGGTAGGCTCATCTCTCCCCTAAACAAGATTTCATCCATGCTTCATGCTTGGTACTGACTGCTGAGTTGCAGCCGAGAACATGAACTGCTTCTGTAGATTTCATCCATGCTTGGTACTGACTGCTGAGTTGCCATCGAGAACATGGACTGCTTCTGTGATGTGCTGAGTTGCAGGCGAGAACATGAATTGCTTCTGTGATGCAAGCATCGAAGCCATCATCCATGCTTGGTACTGACTGCTGAGTTGCAGCCGAGAACATGAACTGCTTCTGTGATGCGTATCGATGCCTGTTGCTGAGCAGTTGATTTGCTATGGGCATGATTGGTTTCTTGCCGAGATGCCGCTGCCTTTGGCCCTCTTCGCTTGAACTTATCAGCCTAGCTTATCAGCCATGGTACAATGTTTTTCTCTCACAACAAATTAGCGAACGGTACTTTTTAACTTAGGCTGTGGTTTCTATTCGATTAAGCCACGGAGAAACGGTGTTTGGTGGTTCTCTTGTCCTGCAGTCATGTGGAGGGCCTAGTTAGTCTGAAACCAGCCAATGTAACGCTTCTCCGATGCGTTGATCTGCTATATGCTTCTACGTTGGGTGTGTGATTTCAGTCATGCGACTAGAAAATTTGTTTGTGTTTGGTTTTATTTTCAAATCTGAAGCATTTCTGTGTTCAGGTTGCGTGCTAAATTCTTTCCTGACATGCTTATCCACCTTTTTAAGAATTTTGGACCTATCCTAGATTCCGTAAGCATGGTCCATAAGATGAACGTTGTGGTTTGGCAAGGTTCCGCTGGCTTGGGTACCACTACCAATTGGTAGCCCTCGAGTCGTTTGCCTGCTGCTCCCTTGTCCCTTGCACGGATCATGCATGGTCTTTGACCACCTCGTCAGTCTATCAGGCAGGCAGGCTCATTTCCATCATACCTTTGCCATTTAGAATTTCATCCATGCTAGTAATGCCTTGGCGTACAACTCTGAGTTGTATTCAAATCGTTGTCATTTGTCAATTGTTAATAAATCTTATAATCAACTCGCCTCTGCAGTTTCCCATGCGACAGCTCCACCACGACACTTCACGCAACTGCTCCATCGGCCAATCAGAGAGCTCAGGGCCAAGTCCTCTGAACCGGCCCAATTATTCAACTCAAATGACCTCATATTCCCAGCTTCGTCGCAACCGTGGCGCGCTGATTTGTTCTCTAAGCACGCGCCATTTCAGATTCATATCACCAGCTAATTGTTCCAATTGCTATCGGGTCAGCCATCGCCATGTCGTCGTCCCTCTACAAGCAGCTGGGCCTTTCTGGAGCCGGCTCCCCGCTCACCGGCCGCCACCTGGCCCTCCTCGTCCTCGGCGCCGTCTTCCTCGCGCTCACCGTCTTCATCGTGCACCCCAACGAGTTCCGAATCCAATCCTTCTTCGCAGGCAGCAGCAGCTGCGGCGGCCGCCCCGGCACGGACGCACCTGCTGCCGCAGTCGCCAGTCCCCATGGTCACGGTGCCACCACCACGGAGAAGGAGGCCGCCGCAGCACGGGCGCCGGCGCCGGCGCCGGCTCCGGACGACGACGACGTGCGCGTCCTCATCGGCATCCTGACGCTGCCGAGCAAGCGCGCGCGGCGGCACCTGCTGCGGGACGTCTACGCGCTGCAGGCGCAGGAGCACCCGTCGGTCGCCGGCGGCGTGGACGTCCGGTTCGTGTTCTGCAACGTGACGTCCGCCGACGACGCGGTGCTCGTGGCGCTGGAGGCCATCCGCTACGGCGACATCATCGTGCTGGACTGCGCGGAGAACATGGACAACGGCAAGACGTACACCTTCTTCTCCACCGTGGCGCGCTTGTTCAACGGCAGCAGCGACGACCGGCGGCCGAGGAGGTACGACTACGTGATGAAGGCCGACGACGACACGTACCTGCGTCTGCCGGCGCTGGTGGCGTCGTTGCGCGGCGCGGCGAGGGAGGACGCCTACTACGGGCTGCAGATGCCGTGCGACACGGAGAACTTCTACCCGTTCCCGCCCTTCATGTCCGGGATGGGGTACGCGCTGTCGTGGGACCTGGTGCAGTGGGTGGCGTCCTCGGACCTGGCCCGGCGCGAGCAGGACGGGCCCGAGGACATGTGTACGGGGCATTGGCTCAACCTCGCCGGCAAGGCCAAGAACCGGTACGATAACGCGCCGAGGATGTACAACTACAAGGGCGCGTCGCCGAACAGCTGCTTCCGGCACGGCTTCGTCCCGGACACCATCGCCGTGCACATGCTCAAGGACGACGCAAGGTGGGCCGAGACGCTCGCCTACTTCAACGCCACCGCCGGACTCCCGCGCTCCGGCGGCCTCTACCACCTGCCGGTGCCGGCGGGCAGCCCCTGATGACGAGCTCGCTCAAGTGTCGTTGAACCGTTCGTCGGCCTTGCCGGTTCGCTCTCGTCGGCCCCGGATGCGTGCGTTGAATATTGTGATCAAGGGTTGGTGGCGCCGCCAGAGGATAGGTAGTAGGTAGGATACGTGTTCGTTCGGACTTCGGAGTTGCCGTGTTGCTGAATAATACGCTGGTACAATGACGTAATTGAATTTTTTGTTTTGAGATTTCGAGTCTCGAGTGATATCTAGGCTCTTTAGATTGTAAGTTTTTTCATTTTTTTTCTATCACATCAAATCTTTAACACATGCATGGAGTATTAAATGTAGATAAAAAATAACAATTATACAGATTTATTAAAAATTACGTAGATAAAAAATAACTAATTAGGTCATGATTGATTGTAATTATTACAGACGAAAATCTTTGTCAAACACCCGATTCATAACCCCAATCTAAAGAAGGCTCTAGGGGCCTTGTTTGATGTCAGCCAAAGCCAAGTGACGCTGTTGCGATAAAAAAGCTGTCATTTCTTTTTTTTTTCCCAAAAACCAAATAATGACGCTCCGTGTTTAACATTAAGTTAAGGCCCTAATCGATTTTGATTTTATTTGTTTATTGTTTAATCATCATGTAAAAAAGTGACGCTGTTGCGATAAAAAAGCTGTCATTTCTTTTTTCCCCCCAAAAAAAACCAACAACTTGACGCTTGATTGATGTGACGAGGGAAAAAAAAGTAAAGCTAAGCCGGCATACGGCGCCACTGCCGCTACACGAATCCACTTATCCACGCCACGATAGGGCCTCAGGTTCTCAGAGAGCAAATGTGCCGATGGCGAATGAATTTGGGCCGTTAGGCAAATCAGCCATAGCGAGCGAAGGCCACGGGTGGGCTGTTAAGCACGAAGGCGGGCCAGCGAGAGCAGCGGAGCAGAAAGGGCCGAGGAAGATGTCAATCTAGCTAAACGGCCCAAGCTGTAACGTCCGGATACAACAGTTACAACAAAAAAAAGACAGATAAAACATTTAAAACAAACATATAAAACACTTTGCGAAAACATCTGAAAAACACTTGAAACCATTGCAAACATATGCAATATCCAGATGAAACACTTGCAAACATACGTATAAAACACGAAAATACTTGAAAACATATGCTTGCAACGTGCATGTATATACACAACATCCATATAAAACTTACAACATTCGCTGCAACAGATGAAATATTTGGAACATACACTTGAAACATACGTGTATAACTATTACAACATGTGCAACATCCTGATCTACTTTAGCAACATCTGTATGAAACACTTGAAACATACATCTGAAACAACTGAAACACTTGAAACATAGGCTTGCAACATGTCTGAAAACGCTTGAAAACTCTTGAAAACACAGCAGCATTGTTGGCGGCGGCGACCTACCTGGTGAGGAACTACGGTGGCGCAGGCCTCCCCTTCCTGCGGACAACGCAAGCTGGATGGGGGCACAGGCCTCCCCTTTCGTGACAGGCGAGGTTGATGGGGGTGCCGCGCTAGATGGTGGTGCACCTCGGGCACGGGAGCAGCGAGGGAAGGGTCGGGTGCCTCGTGGGAAGGAGCATCGCGGTAATGGCCGGCGACGAGGGAGAGACGTTGGAGCAGGGGCTGCATGCTGGGGAGGGAGCGGGGAAGAGAGAGCGCCCTGTTGCGGGACCTTGTGGCGGCAGACTCGGCCGGAGGTGCGGTGCGGTGAGGGGCTGACACCATAGTCCCATTGGAAAAATTTTCTTTTCTTAGAGGCTGGTCCGCTGCATAGGAGAAAGACAAGCAGCCTGTTCACTTGGTCGTATTTGGCTTATAAGCCATGGTTTATCAGCCAACGAATAATATTTTTCTCTCACACCAAATCAGCCAACAGTACTTTCAGTCATGGCTTATAAACCAAACCAGTCCAAACAAACAGGGCGAAGATTGGGAGCCGCGCCGTGACCGAGCGTTTCCAAAAAAAAAAAAAAAGGTAAGCAGCCCAACCTTTGCCTACGAAAGCAAAATCAGCCCACACACTCTATTTTAGTAAAAAAAAAACGCATCAAATTCCCAGTCTACGAAAGCAGCAACACAGGACACACCACATTTTTTTTCCCTATAAGAAGAAAGGCGCTGACCGCCGATTCCATTCATGCCACAAGCGCATCCGCCACAGAAGCCACGCAAGCTATAAAGCAAACGGCAGCACTACACGGTACATGCGCTGCATGGAAGCCAGTCAGCCATACCCATACGCTCCGATCGCCGGCGGCCACACGCCCTCGGTACTGGCCCATTCGACAGCTACGGTGCGGCGGGCGGAATCCACGCACCTGTGGCCACCCCGAGCGGATCGGATCAGGACGACGAGGGAGCGCTCGGTCGAGGCACAGCAGACATGAAGGGACGGTGACGGCGACGGGGACACGGCGCGGCGTGGCGGCTGCAGCGTCGCCACCGCGCCATGAATGCACAACAGCTGGGTGGGTAGGCCGCCGAGGCCTACTAGCGCCTTGCGCGGAAACCCACGCGGCGGCCTCGTGCAGACGTGCAGCAGACGCTCTCGGCGACCTGAGGATCGCGACGGCGCGCGCTGCGGCCACCGGCGCGAGACGTGGCCGGGCCGGCGGTCGATCGGGCCCGTCCGCGCACGAGGCGTGGGGGGCGCGTAGTCATGTGCCGGTGCGCTTCATCAGTTGATTCTTGATCGATACTGTAGCAACGATTCGTGTTTCTCCTCTCGATGGATGTCGATCCGTGTCGTGTAGGTAGCCTGATAATAAAGAGAGAACGTGAAAAGGCGAAACATTCCGTGGCGCTCGTTCTTGTTGCCCATGTGTGGTGCCTGAGAATGAAGTGATCCTTTCGATCCAGTTGCTCTGAGTGGTTCGCACACTCAGGTCAACTGGGGACACGGAGATAGAGTAGAACCTCAAGGATCGGCATCAAAGATCCAAAACCAAAAGGCTTTCAAGTAGTATGGGTAGGGATGTCAACAGATTGGGAAAGGTGTGGGTGAAGTAAAAACTCATCCGCAGGTGTGGCTGCCATCCCCAAGTACGGGTAAGGGACGGTTTCTAAAGAGGTCACTGAGTGACTGTAGAGTGCTTATCTAAATTTAACTAATACTCCCTCTATCCCTAAAAAAGAGTCGCTATGTGAATCGTGCTGGTCAAACTTTCTCAACTTTAACTAGGTTTGTAGAAAATACGTGCAACATTTATATTTCCAAATAAATTTATTATGAAAGTATATTCAACGACCTATCTAATAATACCAATTATGTAGTATAAATATTAATATTTTATTAAATATATTCGGTCAAAGTTAAAAGTTGTTGATTATGTGGTATATATTTTTATGGGTCATATTAACTTTATCCATAAGTCAAATATTACTATATTTGACCGTCCACTTTAAAAAATCCCTTAGTTTTCACAACATATGAGTTATATATTATGAAATAATTTCTCATAGTAGATCTAAAAATATAAATCTTATGTCATGAACCTATGTATTTTTTTTGAAAGATGGTCCAAGATACAAATGTTTGACTCGATATAAAACTAACATGACATGTAAAAAGAAATGGAGGAGACACTACGAGATACTCAGAGTTGGAAAACCACTTTGTCGATGAAGATTATTATAAGTAGAAGGAGCTCTGTTAAACATTTAAGTCTGCATCCATCATTGCAAGCAGGGGTGCATCTATGCAAGGATTAGTGGGTACGGTGCACCCATGCAAAAAAAAAAAAAAACGGCGATTATGACCAAATTTTCGCTATACCGTACCTACATCTTCACTATAAAAATCTATACACCCACAGGACAAACACAACATTCTCTAGTTTGTTCTAGCTCTATCCCTGGTTGCAAGTTGCGACAAGTGTCTATAGGTTATTACTAGGAAGATAGTACTACGCGCAGCGAGGAGCACGCGGAAGGAAAACAGAAAAAAAGAAAAGAAAAGGAAAAAAAAAAAATAAAACAAAAAATGTCACGGCAGCTACAGTACCTAATAGTGACCGAATCACTGAAGGAGAAAATGGAAAAAATAAAAAGAAAAGGAAAAAGTCACGTCAGCTACAGTACCAACAGTGCCGAATCGTTGAGAGCCCTGGATTTCCAAGCGTGTTAAAGAAAGCAGTTATGCCGCAACCAACGTGTTGACATATGTTTGTTTGACTGACAAGCCATGTTAATACTGTGGACTGATTTAATATGAGAGAAAAATATTGTTTATTAATTAAAAAATACGGTTTATAAGTTAAATAATGCCAAACGAACAGGACGCAAATATTGCCCTACACAAGACAATTCTACAAGCATTCCAAGCACAGGCAGTTGATGAAGATTACCTACATGGCTAAATACTCGTGCTTACAACAGTACCACTTCGTACTGTATAATACTACTAATAATTTAGTAAGTTCACAAAGACCCTAATAAAGAAAAAGTGTAGCACTAGTTCACACACAATTTCTACCTCTCTTTTTTTCGTCTTTCGAAAAAGAAAGCAATCTCCCATTTTTCACCACGCAACGCGTCGCGCGCCACTGTAGTTACCAATCGGCAGATCCATCCAACAGCCGCGCAGGTCGTCACTCTCTGTCGCGGCGTACGGCATGCCGAACGGAAACCACTGTGGCAGCCGAGCCCACGGGCCCCGGGCACCCTGTCGAGCCGTCGAGGCAGCTCCACTATACGCGCGGGCAACAGGGGGGGACCCTTCCCAGTTCCACGTCCGTCCCCTGAGATATTTTCCGTTCGCGATCGGCCGTACGCTCCCCATCCGACGGCTGCCTTTTGAAGACGTGGCCCAGGCGGCTTCGCTTTTCCCTGTTCTTTCCCTCCCTCCGTTCCCCCTCCCATCCCCGTCTCCTGGGCTGGCTGACCAGTGACCACCAGCCCTCTCCCACCTCGCACGCCTGTGGCTGTGGCTCCTGACCTTTCCACCACCGGAGTTAATGCCTCCGCCTCTCCTGTTCGTTTGAACATATCAGTCCGGTTCAACTTATTAATCCACTTTAATACCCGCCGAACAAGGTTAAGGTTAAGCTTGGGTCTGGGGCTGGGGATGGGCGGAACTGGCGAGGGGAGGAGGTGTGGAGATTGAGGGGGGAGCTGTTGTGGCGCGTGTCTCCCTGTCGCCCACAGCTTCTTTTTATTCCTCCGCGTCCGGTTCCGTTCCGGGGAATGGATTCTGGGGAGGAGGGATTCTGAGCCACGGGGGAGGGAGGGAGGAGACGCGGACGCCGGCGCGGCCGCGGCTGCGGCTGCTTTGATCCCTTGCCGCCTCGGCTCTCGTAGTACGTCCTCGTCGTCGTGGCGCGTGGCGGCGCAATTTGGGTGAGTCCATGCTTACCTGCTCCTGCCATTCCAGCCTTAGGATTTTTTTTGGCTGTTCCTTCACGCGGTCTACGAGCGAGCGTTGCGAGGGAAACCTTGGCTCCTGGTTGCTCGTTCCTTTTTTTTTTCCGTGCTTTTATGTGGTGGTAATTCTCACTTTCTCAGTGTTTGGCAGCGGCGTGCGTGTTCCTTGCCTAGATTGGCGTGATCCAATTCTGGTCCAACTGAGAGGCGTTGAGGTGTGCGCCGCAGAACACGATCGTGCGCTTGGTGCTTGCTAAGGTAACCTTTTGCTTGTTGATGAGTTGCTACTAGATCCATTCGATTGATGCAGTCATTTTTGGGGGGTTCTGTCTGAAAATGGGAAATCGGGTTTGCATCACGCTTCCTCTTTTTCTGAAGAGTTTGTATTGCATGGTCATGCCATGCGCATGCACCAAGCAGGACTATCAACTCTTTGTGATGGAAAACTTCCTATTAGGTTCCACTCCTACTACCCATATACACCCCGAAATTTGCTAGTTCTAGTGAAATCTCCAGCGCGATTGATCAGCTAGATTTAAAAGTGCAGTTGTATCTAAACAAACTCTAATGGAGCTTCTGACCCTTTTATGTTTTCCTGATTTACCTGCTTCTGCATCGTTTCTTCTGACAGAACTTAAAAGATCTCGTTGTCTCTGATTATGTTATGGTTTGCGTCCTTGACAGAAGAATCTGCAGCCATATTTCCAGGCTCGCGAGGAAACTCATTTACTTGAATCATGTCGGACTTTGTCGGGAGTAGATATGATAAGCAAGAAGATTTTCAAGTTTTGCTGAGCAAGAAAGATCCTGGAGAACCACCTCAGCACAAGCATTACCTGTCGATGGCACACTGGACCAAAGCAAGCAGCAGTGCAGAACCACGAAACAACAAGGGCACTACTATGAAAGATAGCGAGGCCATGCCATATGAATTCATGAAATCTACAGTTGCTGAAAGGCTCATGGTAGGAGTAAGCCGTGGAAGTGCCTCCATGCAGCATGCTCGACAGTTCAATTCTAGTATGTGGGGTATGGCACGCCATGTTTCCAATGAATTGGGACCAAAGAATAGTGAACAGGTTGATGAGTCTTTTGAAAAATCTATGAAGGATGCTGTGAACTTGCGAGCTAGGGCAGTTGTGTCAGAAACTTATTCTATTCACAAGCTTTCAGAGTTACCGTTGGATTTTCAGAACCTTGGGAGCTCAGATGATCCAAGTCCAGATTGGAGCCACTTTCCAATGTTCGAAATTAATCGAAAGATTGACAGTATTCTCAACCGTAAACGAAGATCTTCAGCACTTGGTCCAGCACCTCTGAATCTAAATGTGTCTGCATCCCAAGTGATGGCCCTATCATCACAAGAATACATGATGCACTCACATCAAATAGCTGACGAGAACATGGATACATGCAAACCTGCAGAAGGCTTTGCTTCTCGCATAGAAGATCCTGCTGGCCTCAACTCAGATCCTTCAGGGCCAAAGTTAAAAGGACAATTATTGGATACCATGTCATGTTCTTGCAGCAAGGACGACAATAACTCAGCAGATTGTCCAATAGATGAGCAGCATACAAGCCACTATTTTGCAAACTCAAAGCATGAACTACCCTCTGTATCTAACAAAAAGAAGTTCAAGTTTGCAGGAAACAACCACAATCGAATTGTTGCAAGTGCGGCCCACAATCTGAAGACAAGAAGATCTGCTGTCCATAAACAACAAAGTGCTGCAGAGGCAATGTTCTGTGCACCAGTACTTGGTAGTGAGTTTCAGAATGAACCAATAACTATTTCCAATATCGGCAAGAAGGATGGTGAAAATTTTCATGAGATGTATAAATCTCATGGCAAGGCTGTTTCGTGTTCTTTGTTACCATATGAGCATCATTGTCATCTGAAAACACAGAGAACGGAATCTGCAGGAAATTTGAAAGTCTGCACATTACCTGATCAAACTGCAAATAAATTGACAGAAAAGAGTAATGGTGAGCTTCTGACATATGGACCAAAGTCAAAGGAAATGTGTACAGATTCTTGTAACCGAAGAGGGCCCTATTTATTCGAAAAGTTAACGATTCCTTCTAAATCACAAAGTGCACATCCTAAAAATTCTGCGTCTTCAGGAAAATCTAGCAGCTTTGGAGTTTGTATGTACGGCACCAATATTGGCAGTCGGTTATTCGGAGCACAGAATCAATCTTCTAAGACTGAAACATTGCACAGCGATACTCTTATTGGGTCCAAATCCTCAGCAGGTGAGGTCTAGCATCTATAAAATACAGTATCCGCTAAGAGCGTGTTTTAGTATGGTGGTTTGCGTCAAAAGGTGCTTCTTTTTTTCCCTTGAATGCGCAGGAGAACTGAACATCTTTATATATTATATAGAGAATAAAAGGTGTAGTTATTCAAAAAACATATATTGCTAACAGAGACAGAGCAGCATCACTGGAATGTTTCATCTAATATATATCTTTTTTTTTGGTTGCTGATGGTAGCAGTATCACTCTCAGACTCACACCTGTTTCCTTTTTCTGGATCGTTGTAGGCATTGCTTCATTGCCGGCACAAAAGGTATCGGTGTTCCATAATCCAATAGCAATCTGATCTCCTGTTTTGCGCATGAAGACTGTTCCTGGACTACTTATATTGTTCGATACTATAAAAAACAACATATGGCCTGGAACTGTTTTTGTATTGTTTGGATGATTTCAGAAAAAAAACTTTCCTGAAAAGGTTTATAAACTTTATTGTCAAAAATGCATTTTGATGTGCATCAACTTTGTTTTCAGTGTTAGTCGATCTTGCCTGTTTATGCTCTTTAGTTAAAATCCTGGAATTTGAATATATTTAGGTTGGTTTGAATATATGCTCAACTACCTGTTGCTTGTTTTTCCACATGATAATTATTTCAAGCTGTGCTCATTCATGGGCCCGTATCTGTTGATAGATCTATGTACTGATTCTTTCATTACCAATAAATGTACTACAGGACTATGGTTGCTCAGACGAAGCAAAAAGTGAGCAGCTGGCAGCTCCGTCCAAGAGAGGAGATTCAGGATACAGTAAAGAAGATGGAACCCATAATGTCAATGAAGGTCACGATTATTCGTCCAAAGCAACCATTGGTAGTAAGCAATCGTGCATGCCCGGAACAGGAATCACGAACCTAGATCTCTTACTTTCCCAAATGAGCAGAATGAGAAATCAAATTTCCAGTGGTATAATTCAACCACCAATAGGTGCTGAGCCAAGTGATAGATGGCTCAAGCGCCTACAGCTTGACATATCAGATCCTGACATGCCTGGTTCCAAGAGGCCAAAAGTTGGAGACAGTCCTCCACTCAGGCAAAGAGATCGTTCTTTTGATATGGCACTTCCTTGCAACAGGACTGACACTGGAGCAATCGATCGTGTTAAGGAGGACCAGAGCTTGGATGAAGGGAAAAAATTGCAAGAAAAGCAAGAAAGAACCCCAATTCTAGAGAAGAGCGTGAATAGTTGGATAGGAAGATGGTGCCAGGGTGGCACTCCTGTTTACCATGAAGACCCAGGCCAGGGACGGCAAGCAACAAAGCCTGGCCGGTTATCCGAAGAACTTGAAGGTCAGTTCCCAAGCATTGCAGCGATGGCGATGATGGGGCGAGCGATGAACAAGCTTCGGCCATGCGAGCATCAGAAGAAGGGGCCGTTTGTGGTGTGGAAGACAGATTGACCTCGTGTGTATGTTTTTGGGTGTAATATACTGGTTTCTTTCCAAAAAAAAAAAGTAAAGCAACTGGGAATTTTGCCTGGCAGTGGTTCATGGTTTATTTTTTTCTGAAGTGAAAGTAGCTAGGTGTAGTGGCTACTGATGGTGTAATGGTTTAATATACCAACAGTATAATACTATACTGTCTACTGTTTCGTTATGATGATGATGTGTTGAGGCCTCAGCTGAAGGGCATTGACAAGATGAATATGTGAATTATCTCACGCGCCAACATGTTGTAGAAGTAGAAGTAACTAGAACAACTAATGATGAAGCAAAAAAGAACACATGATGAAATCATAATCCGTGTAATTGGGAGCAATGAACAGCTGAATAGGCGGCTAAGCACTGAACTAGTTTCGGTTGTGGTTCTGTGTTATGGTAGGCACTACTGCACTAAGAGGGTTATCCTGTGATATGTATAGATGGCCATAAGGCCCGTGGCCCATCAGCACGGCCCACGGACCGCTGTTTTGGCCCGGCCCAGGCGCGGCCTGGCACAGAGGAGAAAGGTAGTCAAGACCAGTGTGCTTCCTTCATAGTACTTGAGACCTTCTCATCCGGCGACACACCTGACCCACGCACGCCACACAGCCTCTCGAGCTTCTTCTTCAGGTCTTTGCTCAACGAGCTATTCGGTGAGAGACCATTATGGGAAGTGGGCTTCGATAGAATGCCATTCCGCAACGGGGCTTCGCCAGGATGCCATTATCAAGTGCGACACAACCGCTAGGATGCCATCCGAGGGAATTTGGAGCCTTTTATTCCCCTTCTACCCCTCCCTTCTCTCTTTTCCTTTCACGGTCGCGATTGCGACGGACGGAACGGGAGCCACGAACGGATCGAGCTCTCGGGCTCTTCTCCTCCGTCGCCGAGGTACCCCACGGCCGCCCGCTCGATCCGCCTTCCCACGCCCGGCCAATCCCCCGCAACCGCGCGCTCCCCCACGCCCGCCCGGCCAAGCTTCGCCTGCACGACCTACACGCCATGGCCGGCTCCAGCTCTCCTTGGCGCGGCAGCAGCGCCTCCACGCCGGCCTTGGACCACACCACGACAACGACGCCCACAAGGACGAACAAGTACACAATACCGCGAAGCCGAAGGATTTCAAACAATGAAATCCCTCTTATTCATTGCCCAGACTGTATGTGTCGGTTTCTGAAGGTCTGTACATCGAAGACAGAGAAGAACTACGATCGCCAGTTCTATGTTTGTCCAACTCGAACGGTGAGAATGGTTAGCTGCAAATTCTTTATGTAGTCCTTGCTATGTGATTTGATGACTGAATCAATTTGATTGATTTCCATTCATGTGGCGACAGAGAGAAGGTGCTGGCTGTCCATTTTGGGAGTGGGAAGAGGGATATGAGCAATACTTGGTTGACCAAAAATTTGTGCCTCTAGATTATCAACCTGTTTTCGAGTCTACTAAGTTGCGGCTAATTGTTGAAGACAAGCCAAATTCTGGAGAATCAAACTATGATGAACAAGTAAAACAGCTTAGGGAGATAGCAATGTTGCTGAAGTATTTGATTCTTGTCTGTGGACTAGTGTTAGTTAGCAATTTGTATGCAATTGTAAGGAGTGGATGAATCTTGTATACTTGGTACCAAAATGTATCAGCTGTGCCAATGAATCAATGAAATGTTATGTTCTCAAGTGATAAATTATTTTCTTCTCAAATGGCACAGGGTTCATAAGAAAGCATTCAATATATAATTAAGTTTCACAAACACACAAGTCTGGTAGCACACATGTTTTCAAATGGAAAAGGTTCATAAACCACACTAACTCATACAATTAAGTTCATACAGGACACAGGTTCATCAAACATATGTTTTGAAAATAACACAGGTTCTCAGATATTTTTCATTCTCTTTGGGACCAACTTCTTGGCTGTCGTTTTCTTCTTTCTTGGTGTTCCTTGAGTGGTGCTGGGCGACCCATCAATATCAGTAGGCTGGACTTCTGTGCCTTCTCTATGTTCTGTAATGCATCGGCTGAAAAAAGGAATAAATCAATTTAGTAACTGAACATTGTAATTCTCAGGAAGAATAGATGGCTGTCATCACTATGTTTACCCTCTTAGCCTAATTGGGCTCTCTTGCAAGATTGTTTTCTTGGTTGGTCTGATGGGGCTAGTGAATACTATTGAAGTTTCCTGAACAAATGGCACTATAGCAGTATCATTTTCAGCTTGCACAGATGCATTTTCATCTTGCACAGTTGCATGGTTAGATTGTACAGTAGGATTTTCAGGCTCCTTATCTTGCCTCTTTGTCCTTTTTGTTGGGATTTTAGCATTTGGCCTATATTTAGTAGTATTTTTTCTGGGCTTCCTTTTTCTGTAGAGAAAAATAATAAACAAATATTTAAAATAGCATGGTGCAATCAGTCAATAAATAAAATGAAGAACAAAAGATGCTACATTTTCTTTGTCCCAGTAAGTTTGCACTTATAGCTAGTTTCTCCATGACCCAATTCACCGCACCCCTTGCACTTCCTTTTTTCCATAATCAGTTGCCTCTTTCCCATAGCAGCTTCCCGGGCTTCCAATTCTGCATCTTTATCGGCCTGATTGGCAGCATCCTTTGCATCTTTTTTGCTCATTCCACCTTTTCCCCCTTCCAAACATCCTTTGATTCGTAATTTTCTGGGCTTTCCAGCAGATCTTTTAGCTAATGGTGCGTTAACAGCAAAGTCATGCTCAACATTAGGCCACTGGGTCTTATCTGGAAGAGGCTCTATCAGTCTCTTATAAGCATTCTTGAACCTCTCCACAGAGTAATAATCATGAACGAAGTCTTCCATCCTGACATCAATACTTTGTTGTGCTATTATGAGGCACAAGGCATGCTGACAAGGTTTTCCGGTGTGCTGCCACCGAAGACATGTACATTCATGCAAATGTGACTTCACGACATGCCTATTATGTGTGCTGGTTGTGTCATGTATCTCTGCAGCAAAAGGACCTGCCTTCACAACTGTTAGGTGTCTTAAACCCCTAGTCCTTGCTCTCAATTGTCGAAGTACTGCTGGTAGGATCCTACCATGAAGCCTCTTTGAAATTGCACGTCTCTTGTGAAACAGTGTCATTATCATCTCTCTAATCTTGTCAGCAAGCTCAACTATAGGTAGGTCTTTTCAATCTCTGATCCAATTATTGAAGCTCTCTGCAAGGTTGTGGTAACGTAATCACACTTGATTTCAGGGTTGAAGGCACTTCTCATCCATAACAATTTGTGATGGTTTTCAAGCCATTCCAATATTTGAGGGTTAGCTAAAACAACTTGGTTGAAAAAATATTTGAAAACTCTAGGTCTATATGTTCTTGCTGCAGGATACATCTTTGAATATGTATCTCCCCCAAATCTTTTAATAAAATTCTGCATTAGATGCCTAAAGCATTCTCTATGTTCAGCTTGAGGGAACACATCTTTAACGGCTTTTTCTAGCCCTTTGCATGCATCAATGCAGATAGCAAGTACTGGTAGGTGTCCTATGGCCTTATGCAGCCGAGTCATAAACCAAGTCCAGTTATCTACTGTCTCACCATCTATGAAACCAAAAATAAGTGGATACATCCAATTATGACTATCTATAGCAGTAGCCGCACCCATATGCCCATTCCATCTACCATTAAGTGCTGTTGAGTCTATGCTAACATAAGGCCTACAACCTCTAAAAACCCTCAATGCAAGGACTTAATGCATAAAAAAATCTGTGGAAGTACAATTCCCCATCTACCTGTTTTACGTCAATTTCAATGATACTTCCAGGTGATCGCTGTAGTACCTCTGCCCTCCAATTGAACAACATTTGGAAGCTTTGTTTCCAGGTGCCAAACAACTCGTCACAGGCCATTTGTCTTTCCTTCCATACGGTGTCATAGGTAATCTTACATTTGTGCTCTTTTTCTAGTATTGCCCTCATTTGTTTGGCGCCTATGGTGTGATCGTCCTTTAGGTGCTGAATGGCCTTTGATTTCACCCAGATACTTGTTGGAGTGGTGGTATACCGCCTTGAGCTAGCAGTACAGTCGTGTTTCGCAATCAAAGCTGTAACCTGCAACAAGCAAATAGCAAAAATATAACATATATACAAACAAAAAATGGTGACATATAGTTAGGAAATAGTAAATAGTTATACACCTTCACGGTGGACCCATCAGGTTGTCTACGCCCATTAATATGCCATGAGCAAGCATCATCTTTGCAATTGGCAATGTACCTCGTCGGATCTGTTTTGACTATGCGGTATTCAAACTCCTTATTTATTGCAAATTGTTTCATGGCCAGTCTAAACTTCTACATATTTGGATACACGGTGCCAATATCCATAGAAGGGTTGTTAGGATCATAAGCATAGAGTCCTTCCCCAGGCACATGATCATCAACTGGAATTGCAGGACCAGTTGTGTCAATATCAATATTAGTAGTTCTATTTTCAGCTGTACTGTCCCTCTCAGCAGCAGCTTGAGCATCAGCCTCACTAGGCTTATCATGCTGATCACCCTCGTCTCTCAAACCCAAAAGACGAAACAACTTATCCTCATTAATTATATCTAGCATACCCTCACCCTCTCTATCAAATGTGTTTTCAATCTGCAGTTCGTCCCAATTAACAGCTCCAGAATGCCCTGCAGCCTGTGAACTACCAAGAAAATCACATGCTTCCTGTGAATTGCCAACATTTGGAGTTTCATCTACAAGCTGAGGCGGATCATTGCTACCAATATCTGGAGTTTCTTCTACTGCATCTACACTATCGTCAGGCTCCGGATCGAGCCTGGACAAATTGTAAAAATTATACCGTGTTAGAAACCTATTGGGCGAGGTGACTGTATTGGCTTCCCAAACCGAGTTAGAGAAATAAGAGGAAAGAAGAATCTTACAGAACGAGGTTACTCCATCTGCATTCCATGGGGAAGGTCACTGCATCAGAGCTTGGAGAAGCTTGGCCGGGCGGGCGTGGGGGAGCTCGCGGAGCGCAGGCGGACGTGGGGGAGCGCGCGGTTGCGGGGGATTGGCCGGGCGTGGGAAGGCGGATCGAGCGGGCGGCCGTGGGGTACCTCAGCGACGGAGGAGAAGAGCCCGAGAGCTCGATCCGTTCGTGGCTCCCGTTCCGTCCGTCCCAATCGCGACCGTGAAAGGAAAAGAGAGAAGGGAGGGGTAGAAGGGGAATAAAAGGCTCCAAATTCCCTCGGATGGCATCCTAGCGGTTGTGTCGCACTTGATAACGGCATCCTGGCGAAGCCCTGTTGCGGGATGGCTTTCCGTCGAAACCCACTTCCCATAATGGTCTCTCACCGAATAGCTCTTGCTCAACACACTTCCCGACCCATGTGGCCTCCGGCGGTCACGTCGACAGCCTGGCAACCGCATATCCGGCGCCCTTTCGGCTTGTATATCAACTGTGGAAGAGTGGCGGCCGGCGTTGACCAAGCTGCCGCGGCTGACACGCGGGATTGTGGGTTGAGTCTTTAATCCTGTTCGGATTCCTGAATCTCTGTTCACTATTTGTTCGTTTCGGACTTAGGGTCCGACCGATCTCTCTCTCGATGCCCCCTCTTTATAACAGTTGGGGAAAGGAGAGATTTTTGCATCTTTGGGGACAATTTACGAATCATCCCGCCTTAACCAACACGTCGCGGACGCCTTTTACGCCTAGATTAGAATTCAGGGGGTACGTTTTTCTCTTCACTGATACTCATAAATTTCAGAATATATATTTAGTATCTGTTTACATTACATGGTATCTTAGATTGTCCTGATACCAATCTCGTGTTTATTTCAGTGCAGATTATCTCATAGTTGATCAATTTTGGGTGACATGATGATGGGGAATAAGAGAAGGGCAGTAGCATCTGGCGGTGCACATTTCCTGCCGGAGGAGATGATGACAGAGGTGTTCCTACGGCTGCCCGTCAAATCCATTCTTCGTTTTCGGGCCGTCTGCCGGTCCTGGAATGCAGTGCTTTCGTCCGATGAATTCTGCTGCCTCCACATGGCCAGGGCTGAGGCGTAGCCAGCGCCGCCTAATCTATTCTTCACTTCACCAACAGCTGGTTTTGACGCCACCGCGGTGTACTTGAACTCATCATCAGGCCCCGATGACGGCCTGTTGTTCACTCTTGATGATGTATGTGGCGGTGACTTCATCCACATGACACCTGCACCATGCCGTGGCCTCACCCTTCTACACGATCCTTTCGCACCAGCTTACTATGTCTTCAACGCATCCACAAGGGCAGTTACCTGGTTGCCTCCGTGCCAGAATGCGGATTTTGTGACTGCTGGACTTGGGTTTGATGCCCGGACAAAGAAGTACAAGGTGGTGAGGTTATTCTTCGGGGATTATTGTGATGAGCAGTATATCATGTGCGAGATATACACGCTGGGGGGTGATCATGGGGATGTTTGGAGGCTGCCTGCTGCAGGTGTACCCTTCAGATTCTGCAGGGCTGCTGCGGCAGCCATCGACCATGTTAGATGGGACAAACTGCTGCCAGTATTTGCGAATGGGTGTCTGCATTGGCTTCTCTGTCCCTCATTCGTCATTAAACGGCCACGAGCTGCCATCCTATCCTTTTCTGTCACAGATGAGACCTTTGCATGGGTCTGGTCGCCACCGTTTGAGGCATCAGGCGTGCACTTGGTGGAGCTTGCTGGCCACCTGTGCATGGTCCGGGACCTTCGTCATGTCGGCATGCTAGAGATTTGGAAGCTGAATGACTGTAGCTCTGATGGTTGGTCACTGGAACATCGCATTGATCTGTTGCAGCATGTTGGCAGAGATGATTTAATTGAACCTGAGATTGTTAGAGTTATTGGTTCTGTTGGCAGTTGTGGGTCCAAGAAGAGGATAGTCATTGCTACATCCAAACGCAAGGTGGTTGTCTATGATCCCGTGTTTCAGACCCTAGAAGAAACTGTTATTGCAATCAGAGAGACCCATTCGTCTTACCAAGCCGAAAATCTTGCTCTTAGCTGCGTCTCCCTGTTTCAAGAGAGCCTGGTTCCAGTGCGTCAGGCAAATGAAGAGAGGGCGCTGTCAGCTCCCCTGGCTAAAGCGACTAGGGAGATCTTGCTCCGACTCCCAGGTGATTGTACCATGCGATTCAAACTTGTCTGCAAGCAGTGGCTTAGCTTGATTGAGGGTAACAGCTTAATGCGCTCTTATCACTCGCATAACAACATGGACAAGAGGCCCAAGATCATGCTTGTGGGCAAGGGCATCACTAGGGATCGCATCACTAGAGGATCTGGCTTCAGTTTTACTCCCTGCTCAAAGTTGCTCCAACATGCTCGTAGACATGATATATGGCTTGACACAAAGGTGGTTTGCTCCAAGCCTTGCCATGGCATGAACCTGCTAAGCACTGAGCTGAAGGATTATCTCTACAACCCCTGTACAGTTTTCTGTCGTGTGTATCACACTCGAGGGATGGCATCCGTCCACGTACCCTGGAACATTCCTCGCTATGGTTGTATACCAGAATGCCTGCATGCTTTTGCAGTCGGCCGCAAGAATGTTGGCCTGGGGCTCAATCTGTCGACGCAGGATCACGTGATTGTTGAAATGTTTTACCACGTGAAGGACTTCGAATCCCGTCGATATTTCTTGACATGCATAGCGTCCGAGTGTAGAAGGGGCTCTGTGAGAGACTGCTTCCCGCCACCTCTGCCTGTGAGTGACATGCCGCCGGCGTATCTTGCAGGAGTGCTCTACTGGATGACTGATCCAAGGTTGGGCGAAAGTGACGCGAGGGCCGTTGTGTCGTTTGACATAACAAGAAGTGAATTTGGTGTCATCCCCTGTCCGCCATGTATTGCTAGGTGGAACTACGGAAGTGCTTCCAGTGCTTTTGTGGTTGAGCTTGAGGGGACATTATGTGCTGTTCTTGCAGACCCTGATGGAGAAGAGCTAAGTATTTGGAAGCGAGAGAATGGTCAGTGGCTTAGCGCATACACGGTGTATTTGGAAGGTTGGCCAGGCTATTCCCTTGGAGCAAATGTTGTGGTGCCATGGGCTATCGATCCCAAGGACGGGAAGATCTTGCTAAAGACGGGGAGGAAATTGGGATTCTATGATCCAGCAAGGCGTTTTATTGAGAATCTGTATGATCTTGAAGAGGTGCTGCATGTCAGGAGTACAGAGCAATACTATCATATTGGAGTCCCTGAAAATCTTCACATTGCCAAATGCAAACATGATGTTGAGAAGTTCTGTTCACAGAAATCACTTTTGGTGCAGTGCGAGGTTTCAGAGGATCCTTCGCCTGCTTTATCTGGAAATAGTTCTGCATGCTCCAGCGGAGAGCAGTGTTTGGAGAGAAGAAATTCATTACATACTGAAATAATGCCCTTGGTCCCTATATTATACGAGGAGAGCCTGGCAAGTTATCCCCGAAAGCACAAATCAAGAGTTTTATTAGATATCGTGGCATCACAATTTATATAATACTAGTCCATCAATTTATGCTCTTGCATGGACTAGAATTTTATTTAGGAGATACAAGGATATGGACAGGGTGAACAAGTTCCTACGTTAGTATTATTAGGCTTGGTTTGTATTTATTCTTGCTTAATGTTTAGTGATACATGAATTTCATTGCTCAGTACACCTGTTGCCCATGGAATTGGCAAAATTATGCACTACTTTGTCTTGTGTTCCTGGATTTGGCCGCTTATAAACCTTATACATTGATTCAAAATACTGGAAAATAGGAAAAGCTAGACCAATTAATGTGTTCATGTGCAAGCAGTAAAATGCGTTTGCAATGCATTCTTTCCTTAATGCTTGATGCTCTCTTCGGATCTTGATGTGTTTCCTGGACCAACAGATATTAGAAAATATTTGCGCTTTTTTCTTTTAGGTTGATAGTTGGAACAAGAAATGTCTGAAGAGATGGACCTTGCCAGAAAAACAGGAACAAGACCAAGCAATATTTCAGGTACAGTTGGTATCTGCATTCTTCAATATGCCAGAAAAGGAGTCTGGTTAATGGTCCTGTCATGACGGGCAATGTGTACCAGCGCAGGCACCGTGGCTGGGTCGGGCAAGGGCCAGTGCGCGGTTACCAGGGCACAGCCGAGCTGCTGCTAATCAGTTATCAGAGTCCTAGAGTTTAGGAAAGAGAGTTGTTATTGAGTTTGTTAGGATTGAGTTGTATAAGTACTGCAAATCTTTAATGGAAGAGAGGAGCCAGGGTTGAGATTTAATCTCCCTTTGCTCCCTGGCAACTCCTCTCGTGACCTGCTATTTCCCGTCCAAAACCCATCTGTCGACGACGGCTCCGCCTGTTCGTCGCCGGTCCTTCAAGCCCCGACCTCCCACCTCGCATTCTTACGCTCTCCGGTCCCTGGTCCGTAACAATCTGGTATCAGAGACCATGACTTCATCGGGAGTCACCACCACCGCCACCGACGATACCCTGCCTGCCACCACCGCACCCATTGTCAATCCCGCCGCCCCCCCACCACACCCTGCATCGTCCGACCCGCTCAACCTGATCCTGACCGCCATCCAGGGGTTGCAGCGCCAAGTCGGCGACCTGTCGCTGCGCGTCTCCGCCCAGGGCCTACGCGTCTCCGCCCTTGAGGCCCGTCCTGGATCGTCATCACCGGCTCCACTGCCATACTCGGAGGCGCTGCTCCTGACCTGCGGCGAAATGAAAATTGCAGAGGAAATTCACATCTCAGCCGAGCAGGATACAACTGCTCAAAGATACGATGTGGAATTTCCATTATCTATAAGAAAAAAAAAGATACGTTGCGCATATTCTACAGGCTGAGCAATGATTTAATCATATTTTTTAACACCAGTTTTACTGTTTTGTATGCATATAAGCTATTTTCTTCTAAGCTAGGCCTGTTACACAGTGTAGCAATAGCAAAAGATATCTTTTATAGTGTTTCTAAGATATAAACATATATTTATCATATGTGCATTGTGCTCTTAACCATACCATCCAATTTCCTGAGTTGCTGCTAGATCCATTTGTTTGATGTAGTCATTTTTGGGGTTCTGTCTGAAAATGGGAAATCGGGTTAGCATCACGCTTCCTGTTTTCCGAAGAGTTTGTATCGCAAGGTCATGCCATGCGCATGCACCAAGCAGAAGCAGGAGTATCAACTCTTTGTGTATAAAACTGCATATGACAGAAGGGGCATGGCCCTGCTCGCCCAGCAGTTCCGCCACTGCATGGAGCAAGCCATTGAGATTTTATTTTAATTTTTAACATTTTTTGTAAATTAATTTTAAATCTAACACTGTTTTAATTTTTTTCTCCAAAACTAACACTTTTGGCCGCGCCTATTTCCCTGGCGCGGCGAAACGCCTGTGCCGCGCTATGCATGGTGGCGCAACGAGAGGGATGACATGGCGACGACCGGGACGTTGACCGGTGACGTGGCAGGGTCTGCCGTGCCACCGATCTTGGCGCGGCAGTGACGCGCCCTGATCGGTGGCGCGGCAGAGCCGGCTAAAGGCCCTCGGCCCAGTCCCGCCTGCCTGCCACGCCTGGCCGCTTGCCCGCCGCGCCTTCACGCCCGTCGCGCCGGCCCACCTGCCCGCCTGCCTGCCCGCCACTCCCAAGTGTTGTCGGCGCCCGGCCCTATGTTGTCGCTTCCCTCCCTCCCTTCCCTTCCATTCCCTGGCCGCCTCCCTCCCTCCTCAGCCCCGTTCAAGGTAATGACGCACTTTTTATTTTCGTTTGAATGATGGATTGAAATATTATGAATGGGAGTTAAGGTTAGGAGGAAAATTATGTTTGGGAACTATGGGCTATGGTTTGGAGGAAGATATTAGTTTGATTTTGTCGATGTTAAGGTTAATTATTTAGTTAGAAGTATGTTTACCATGCATATTTTTGTTACTATAAGTGTTGGTTATATTATTTGAGTTGCAATGCAATGCAAATGATTATATTGTACATTAATTTGCGTTGTTTTGATTGATGTTTAATTTGAACCGTTTTATTAGATGGAAGACATGTTTCGGGAGTAGTTGTGGCGAAAACGGGGTCGTCCTAGAAATTGTACCCCGACGAGTCTAGCAAAGATGCCCCCGTCCCTCCTGACCTCCCTGTCCCTAACTGTGACTGTGGTCGTTCAGCCGACGTGTTTCAATCGAGACATCCGGACACAGCGGCTCGTTGCTTCTACACATGCAGTCGTTTTAATGGAAGTAATTGTTTCCGTATGTTTTTTTTCTTCATTTGTATTACTAGGTTACTAATATTTTGTTGGAATTTTGTTGTGTAGGCCCATAAGATGTGTTTTTTCTTTTAGTGGATCAACGGTGCAGACAAGTTTGACCCCAGGTACCTCATTTTCGACGATTGGCGGAGAGGGCGACATCCACGAGAGCACTTCGAGCGGCGGGTTCCACCTCCCCCTAACCCCTCCAATGACGGCTAAGGAGAAGCACTTAGCTGCAGTTAGACGACTAAAGAAACCTCCTCTGTGCGATTGCGGAGATCGAGCTATGATAAACCCTGAGAATACGTTGGAGTTTGTGTGTCCAAACAAGCATGAAGTAAGTCCAAAGTGTATGTGTTGAAATGTTGAGCTATATGTGTTCATGTACTAATGTCACCTTATTTAGGTGTTTTCAATGGCGAAGTGTTGTTTCAAGGAGTGGTTATATGGTCCTAAGAACCAATGGCCGGAAGAACCGCCAAAGGTTAATGAAAAGAAGAAAGAAAGGGTAATTTACAAAGCACTTTCTGTCATGTGTTTATATGGTGTTAAATCCAACTATGGCCTAGTCCCTTACGAGCTTGGAATAGACCATTATTGCGGCCATATGGTTGACTATGATGAGGTTGGTTATTTTTGTGGTAAACATGAAATCGTATTTTGTTTCTTTTGCTAAGACATATATGATATAATTTTTCGTTTGAACAGAGCACTAGAAAATGCAGGTGGAAATGTTATGATGGTCAAGCTAAGTTCTTGGATGAACTGAAGGGGAGGCAAGTAATTGCACGGAAGATGGGATATGGACCTGAGTACGTCAACCTATTCGTTAAACATCACAAAGACAAGATGCGCGAGTTTGCTAGACTGCGCGGTATTCGTAACCCGATTGATGTTGGGCTTGACAAATAGGGATTGGAGAGACGGAGGGTGTTTGAGGAGGATAGGGCAAGCAAGGAGGCAAGGGAGGAGACGAGTACGGATGCAGGTCTTGAACGGGCATGTTGTTGCATTATATGCCAGTGAGTGCTTGAAAGCTATTTTTTTCGTTGCCTGATTTTAAATGTAACATTATCGCGTTGCTAACTGATTGCATTTTATACATGAAGGGATTGGATGCAGCGAGGACCATGACGGAGAGGTGGCTCGTGCAAGGTATGAGAAAAAGAAGTTAGATGAGCACAGAACGTGAGCTGGTCGCACCGTTCAATCACCGATTGTGTTGTCTGATGAGAGGGACGAGGATGAGGACGACACTACCAGACTGAGCGAGCTCATCGCTCTAGCAGAGACAGGCTTGTGGGCGAAGAAGGTTGAGGACGACACTGGCAGACTGAGCGAGCTCATTGCTCTAGCAGAGGTCGGGCTTGTAGGCGGAGGAGGATGACGACACGTTCTTCACTTAGGCCGCAGAGGCCGCAGATAAAGCGGAGGCCGCTTACTACAGGCGACACGTAAGTCAGAGCAATGCAGGCGAGCCTAGCCACATGAACGAGGAGGAAGAGAACGCGTTCTTATCTCAGGCCACAGATAAAGCGGAGGCCGCTTACTACAGGCGAAAGGCAGATTAGGATAATGCAGGTGACCCTAGCCACAACAACAGGGTTGTGGTAGAGGATTAATATTCGGACAACGAGTTGCTTACTCAATATGTTTCTGACCGAGGGTTTTTGATTGCACCGTCTGTTAGTTCCATGCTTTATTAAGGATCAATGTAGCTATGTACTAGAACTTTCATTATGTTGTCTTGTTTTTCATTTGAACTATTGATGTATTATACCCATGTATCATGTAATCAGATTACCCATGGTCGATCTTAAGTGATCCCATCCTTTTGTCACCCTTTGACCCATCCATTTGTCGCTCTCCGATGCATCCAAGTTTTTAATAATAGCGAATGCGTTGAGAATTTCTAAAACGAACAAAATCGAGTGAAATTATTTTGAATACGGTTGGCTGACATATATATCTTGCATGTTTCCCATGTATTTTAAAATAGTAGCGTGTAATTTATATTATTAGCATCAGATCAATGTAAAATAACAAGGCCCACAACGTGGCACATTTGGCAGATCGATGTTCTCGTTTGGCACACAAACCTAAGCCCAGGTTCTGCCACGCCAAGGCCTACGACGTGGTAGGACCTGAACACAGACAGAAGCCGACCAACCTCAATTCCAATTGAACGAGAGCTGCTGTTGGTGCTGTAAACAAATACAAGTGCTGCCGCGACGCTTTGAAACGAATATGAAGCAAATAAATGAAGTCTGTGCGCAAGTTGACAAGTTGCCACATAACATTTTCATTGGTTCATGAGTCTGCAAGTTTCGGACGACAATATTCGTTTGACATAACCAACTAAGCCACAGGAGTGTAAGGATCCCTCGGACGCCTCTGTCTCTTCGGATTTGTAGGCAACAGAGTGGGAGTGTAGCCAATGTCGGTGTGGGGCCTTCAAAGGAGGCAAGATCACCTCTACGTCGGTGTCAGTCAAGAAGTGTGCTCGGTGCGGGTCGTCGTACTCCACCTCAAGAAGGGGTACAACTGGTGCTGCGTGGGAGGGGCCATCATGTTACAAATTGATAAACAAAGGGTTATAGTATTTAAATTAACAATATTCAAATTAACATTATGTAGCGTTGCAAAATTTGAACTACTTGTTACGCAATACGAACACAATATGAAAGCATATGTATATATTCAAAGTAATATTAACAGACATATTAAATAACTTCACTAGAAAAATAAGCAACTTCTATGTATGGACCTGCTGGCCTCGTCTTCTATGCCTGCTAGCCTTGTG